CAATAGATGACAACACTTCAAATAAAATTTCACGTGCTCTTGTGTATGAAGTAGGTTTGTTAATAGAACTTAAGATATAACCTTTAACAGACTTGAAAAAACGAATAGACCGAAATATATAATCTCCTGGTTTTTTCAGCAAGACCTGTTAACATTTAATAGTGTTTCATCCAAAAAAAAGGGACATGTTTTATTTCCTGTGCATGATATAAGAACATCGTTTTCCCTTCTATATACATCTATTTTGCATTTTTTCAATGTGTAATGACATATACAAATCATGAAAATTCACATTCTTGACCCTCAAATTTGAAAGTTCATTGAATCTTTAAAATCCTACAAAAGCAACCAAGAACATCGTACAAATTCTAACACAAGACAAATCTTTTTTAACACTGTCATTACCATAATTATTTACAATTTTCTCTAAGATTTCTGGAGTTATCGGTTCTTTTTTCTGAACAGGTTTGCAAATTATTCTCTTCCCTCCTTCCATAATCATCTGCAGTATTTTCGTCTCACATGGATTCGTACAAATGTTAGCATCATGTTTCAACTTAATACTATAGAAATACGCAGAAAGCACAGATTCGGACACAGCTTGTTGCACAAGACTACTTAGAAAATCTGTCACTGTACTCACAGACGCCGGTAGATAAGAAACACCATTTCCCGCGCAACATTTTTTTAACTTCTGGAAATAAGCATCGTATAATTTGTTACATTTCTCACTTTCACCTCTTCTGATGATACGAGGAATTTCTGATACAGCTGCAGAAAGTGATTTTACCTTTTCCATTTGTCGAATCTCTGTCCAAAACTTCTTGTATTCCTATTAATGAATCAATACATTTAATGAATTTTTACACATTCAGTTCATAAATACTTCACGTTTTATTATTATTAAGGTCTTCCGTCTTCAGCGGAAGACCTTCTTGTTATTCTTCGGTTTCTTTTTCACTTTTTTTCTTCTATATTATTATTCTTGTCATAGGGCGTAACTTTTCTTATTAAAGTCACAATACGTGAATTCGTATTTCTCCAAAACACAAACAGCTCAGATAAATTGTTCAATTATATTTTAATTACGATTCTTCACTTCAAGTGGAATAATAGCAATATGGTATATATCATCAATGGTGGTCTACAATAAATATGAATACCTTACGTACCGTTCATTCACACATTAAATATTTTAACTGAGATTTATATCATTATTTAATTCATAATTTAATTTACTGGTTATAAAATAGTTTAATTAAAATAACTTACCATGTAGACAGAATTTATACATTCCTATTTATTTAGGATAGGTTACATTGATGTAAGTCACCCGTAACGTCTGTCTCTGCGAGGGTTTTCATACGATGTGAATAAAAATATTATTTCATGCAAGGGTTAATAAAATTCGCGCCAGCCATGCGCAGTGACTAGAAAAACCAGTCAAACACACCCATACGCATTCCATTCTCACCGTATGACATCAGAGGTCATGAACTTACAACCCATGAATGGATGAATGAAAGAAATGACGCATGCGCAAATTAAACCATAGTAAACATAGTAAATAATGATCCTGTGACATTTTTTTTTCTTACCGATTTTGTGCACTCGATTTCTCGAAAACGGCTCGATCGATTTCCATGAAACTTTCAGGACTTATGTAACATTACTTGAACCTGATACATATTTTTTCGATTTGATGACGTCACTTCCGGTTTGGAGATATTGTCGATTTTACGATTTTTGAAGGGTCAGGTTGTCCGCATTTCTAAGTAAATGGCTTTAGATAGAATTGAAACTTTCAGGTATGATACCTTAATCTATAGATATGCTAAGTATTTCATTTTTTCGCACGTCGGCGCTTGCTATGGCCCGGAAAAAGACCTATCGGGAATTTAGAATTTTTTAGCACTTTTTCTACAATATCTTTTTTCTTGTTAATATTTTGAAAAGACATATAGAACAAAAGTTGTGAAGAATATCATGCTTTTTTGAAACATATAAAGGATAAGGGGCTGGCCCCTAAAATTAAGGACCTGTGCAGATATAAGAAAGTTTTTCCATAATATACTCAAAAAGTATTTTTTCAATTTGTAATAATATGTTGTTTGAAATTCCAAGCTTAATCCATTGGGGTCGTCAAAATACGTCCGGCGACGTCACTTCAGGTCAAACCGGAAGTAGTCAGAAAATGCATATTTTTGCCGTTCCTGACATGTTTTTGGGTAATAAATGTCACTGGAAGCATAAAACTTAAATATCCGTCCGTCAACGTCACTTCCGGTCAAACCAGAAGTAGCAAAAAATTGCTTAATTTTGCAAAAATTAAAATATATTTGGATGAATTTCAACCATTTTAGAACGTCGATACTCATTTTTAAAAAAAATCAAAGTTACTTCCGGTCAAACAGGACGGAAGACCTACTCGTTGCTTTGCAACGAGCTTTGCTCTAGTTATTATTATTATTTTATTTTTTTTTTACATTTTTCAATCTTCTAGATCTCTTATACACTGTATACAATATGCGCATTTAATATTAATGATTATTTTTGCACATGGTGCATTTTTTATTTTTATGCATGATCTCGCACATGGTGCATGATGTATTTTTATGCATGATCTCGCACATGGTGCATGTTTTCTATAATTTACATTATGCACATGGTGCTTGTGTATTTCTAGAATTTGCACATGGTGCATATTATATGTTTACTCAAATAGCAGTAATGCACATGGTGCTCTTATCTATTTTGCGACCATAACTGGTATAATGCGCTTTATCATGTTACCAATTTTGTGGCATATTTTATCTAAAACTACTTTTAAAACCAAAAAATTACCTGAAAACGTCTTCAAAGCGAAAATGCTATTTGTATCTGAACCTGCATTGAAAAAATTATGCGGTTCCTTGTATTGAATGTAATCTTTAATAAAGTGCTTGAATCTTTTAGTTTTTTCCTCCCAAATTACTGGCGAAAACAGCGCCGATTTCCATTTCGGAATAACTAAAGTATCAAATCCTTTACAAAATTGTAAATAATAATAAACTACTCTGCAAATTAAAACAAGAGGAGGAACAATCCAGCAATTTTCCCCTGCCCAGTCTTGAACAAATGCATCTTACCCAGCAGTTCCTGGAGACCAATATCTAGGGGAAAAAAATTCTGTTTTGTGATTTTTACAATCAGCAAATAAGTCACAAGTGAATTCGCCCCGTTTCTAATTAAAATAATTGATTATATTATCAGATACTCCCCAATCCTCAAAATCAAATATGTTGCTCAAGTGATCTGCATAAACATCCAAATTTCGTGGAATCCATTCAATTTCTAATCGTACAGAATTTTTTTTTTACACACAATCCGAACAGATTCAAAGCTGGCTTATGCAGCTCGAACTTCATGCTTCCCTTACATAGAATAGTCAGCGCATTTTGATTATTTGTGTAAACTTTAACCAACTTTCCTGAAAAATAATTACGTAAAGTTTCAATGTTAACACAAATTGTTTTAATCTCTCTCCAAGTAGAACTTCGACTTTTTTTCGAAATCGTTCCACATATAATGCACAATTTTGCTATCATATTCAATAGAAAATCCGGCACAAGCAAAAGAACTTGCATGTGAAAATACGATTTTTTCAGGTAAACTATTTTAAGCATTTGTTATTCGTCTAGGAGGTAACGCCCACAAATTTGTCAACCAGAAATCCAATTCATAAATACAGTCACGTGACAATGTGAATACATTATCCCAATCGGCTCGAAAACACAATGCCATGCTTAAATGCCTCGTCATCAATTGACAGATAATCCCTAACGACGGTTTCAAAGCAATGACCTTGCCTACAACAGAAGCCACCATGCGTGCACTGACCTGTCCTAAATTTCCTGAAATCGAAACAATATCTGACCGAACTTCAGTAATCTTTTCCACCGGTACTTCCAATAACCCGTCTTGTAAATTTCATATAAAACCTAGCCAAGTAATAATTGCAACGGGATTAAATTGAGATTTTTCTTCATTAATCTGAAAACCTGATTTATTTAAAGTCATCCAGATATTCATGGACCGTATCCCACCCATGCCAATCAGCGATTTTAAGAATCTTATTTCTGTGCTGCAATGCTGACTTTTCTTCTGTCATTATCTTGAGAGTTTTCGATAATTCACCTTCTTGTAAACACTGTTCTAATTCTGCCAACTTTGAAAGTCTATCCTGATTACAATGAAGCGCATTGAAGTGGTAAAATTTTCCTTTTGGATGAAACGTTCCGAGTCATGTTTTGAACGCCAATTATAACAGAATGGCACGCCCATCTCTTTAGACTTTTTTCGAAATCGTTCCACATATAATGCACAATTTTGCTATCATGTTCAATAGAAAATCCGGCACAAGCAAAAGAACTTGCATGTGAAAATACGATTTTTTCAGGTAAACTATTTTCAGCATTTGTTATTCGTCTAGGAGGTAACGCCCACAAATTTGTCAACCAGAAATCCAATTCATAAATACAGTCACGTGACAATGTGAATACATTATCCCAGTCGGCTCGAAAACACAATGCCATGCTTAAATGCCTCGTCATCAATTGACAGATAATCCCTAACGACGGTTTCAAAGCAATGACCTTGCCTACAACAGAAGCCACCATGCGTGCACTGACCTGTCCTAAATTTCCTGAAATCGAAACAATATCTGACCGAACTTCAGTAATCTTTTCCACCGGTACTTCCAATAACCCGTCTTGTAAATTTCATATAAAACCTAGCCAAGTAATAATTGCAACGGGACTAAATTGAGATTTTTCTTCATTAATCTGAAAACCTGGGGCCCGTTTCACAAAGCTATCTTACGACTAAGATCTGTCTTAAGACCGAAAATTATCCTAAGATTGTACCATAGCTGTTTCACAAAACTCTCATATCTTATGATAATCTTAAGATCTATCTTAATCTTAAGACAACCAGATACTTGTCTTAAGACCAAAGTTAACATGGCGGCCGCCTATATTTTGGCCCAAAACAGAAGGAACTTAAGAAGACAACGAATATTTAGAGATAGGAATAACCCATTGGACTATATGCCTGATGCTGATATTATTGATAGGTTCCGCCTTCAACGCCATTTCATTTTGAGATTATGTGCAGAGCTTAATGCTAATCTAGCGCATGCTACTAGCAGGTCTCATGCTCTTCCTACATCACTGCAAATCATGGTGGCGCTCAGGTTTTATGCCAGTGGGAATTTTCAAACTGTCACTGGGGATCTCCATGGTATTGTTTCAAGAGTAATTAAGGCTGTATCATCAGCTCTAGTACACGTATGTTCTGATTATATTAAATTTCCACTCGATGACAGAAGTATCAATAACACCATACTTGGCTTTTCCCGCATTACAAATTTCCCTAATGTCATTGGAGCAATAGATGGAACTCATGTACCAATTAAAGCCCCGAAAAATGACGAGCATCTGTTTGTGAACAGGAAAAATTTTCATTCTATTAATGTTATGGCAGTCTGTGATTCTAGTACAAAATTTACAAACATAGTTGTCAGATGTCCTGGGTCATCACACGATGCTTTTGTGTGGACAAATTCATCATTAAGTGATCTTTTTGAAAATGGGGGTATCAGAAGAGGTTGGTTGCTTGGGGACAGTGCATACCCTCTGAAAAAGTATCTGATGACTCCAGTGCTCAACCCAAGCAATCACCGTGAATTAGCCTACAACGATGCGCATGCTAAGACGAGAAACCCTATTGAAAGAAGCTTCGGTGTGCTTAAAATTGCGCTTTCTGTGCATTGATCATTCTGGTGGAACGCTACTTTTTCATCCAGCAAGAGCATGTAAAATTGTAACTGCTTGTGTTGTTCTGCACAACTTGTGCACTGATCACAATGTTTCGGTACCACAAGCACAAAACCCTGGAGCATATCTTAATCCACCAGACAACTACGTCTACCAAGGACCCAACAATGACGGGGCCGAGATCCGCCAACGATTGATTCTTTCTAGATTTTAAGTTGTGCCACAAACAAAAATTGTTTGTGTTTTCGAGAAATGTTGTGACGTTTTCAATTTCTGTATTATAGTAAAGCATAGATTCGGTACCAACTATACAGTAATTTTTATTAGAAATATTTTGTCCATTTGTATATTACCCAACTGTTAGTGAATGTGATTTAATTTTCATGAAATATTGGTAACTTTCATAAAAGGAAAATGAAACATCTGTTCTGTATCTTGTGATTGTAATGACCAACAAAAATGAATAACAAGTAGTAAATTGAACACATTACAATACGTTTTATTTATTATCAGAAAGGCTACTGACTGTCACTGTAGCATTGGAAACTATTCCAAGCTGACAGAGGTGAAGCGTATGTTGTTCACGTTGTAACTGCGTGTAGTTGCTGCTCTGCAATTTCAAGTCGCCGTTCTTTGATTTTAAATCGTTTTTCCTCAATTTCTAACCTCTTTTTTTTCCCACACATAGCCTCTCTTCCTCTGCTTCAACAAGTTTTAATGTGAGGGCATCATTACAGGGATTAGAAAATTTCTTCATTCGTTTCTTTGCTGGCTCTTCTTCGGCAAGTCTTTTTTCTGTAAACAAAATTCATATCTTACAACCAAGAATACGAAATTTTTGTAAACAAAATCACAAAACTTTTTGTTCTTAAAGAATATTAAAACCTTAATTTTGTTATTTTATCTTAATTTCAAATTTCATGTGGATTATTAAATAATCTTATGAAAAATTAACAAATCAAAAAATATCACACAAAAATCATTCCTCAATATTGCATACGACTTTTCTTACAGTAGAGAGAATATTCGCTCTATGTATCCTCTGGTACCTTTGTAAGAAATTTTACGTAAGCTATTTAACTTTTATTTTTACAAAACATAACATGCTTTTTACTTTTCACCATTAACAGGATTGATTAAATACATGTAGATAAATACTTGTAGACCCCCCCCCTTTTTTTTTACCGGAAAGTTGAACTTGTATCAGTCTTACACATACCATTTATAACATCTGTGCTCCCGCTAGTTGGCGTTTCCCGTACCGTCTCTGCCTCTAAAACGTCAATGCCCCCCTCAACTCCCGAAATGGATGTTTCCCCGATGATCCCCTCGATTTTCTCATCTATTGGTCGCAGGATAGCCTCAGATGGCAAGGATCCCCCCTGTCTTTTTCTGTTCTCTTCTTTTCAAAGCTAGTTTTTTTCTGCTTTCGCTGCTTAAGCAGGTCCATTTTTTTTTCATTTCTTCTCCGAACCTGATGTGGTCTGACACATTTACAGCATTTACCTTTGTAGCTATTTCGTTCCATGTTTCCTTCTTCAACGAATTGGAAACTGTAGAATTTTGTTTGGAAAAGAGAATGTCTTTTCTTATCTCCACTTCGTCCGTTAACACGGTGATTTCGGCCGAACTGAAATTTGGGCTTCTTTTCAGAGCCATTTTCTTTGTAGAATTCTTTCCGAGCGCACGGACTTTGTACCCGTTTTGTGGTCACAGATGAATGCATTCGAACACCATTCATTACTTGTATTCAAAGGCAAATGCGGTGGTGGATCAAATTTAAAGTAAATTTAAATAAATTTTCTTAAACAGAATTCATATTTATTTTTGAACAAACAAACGCATTTTTAAAATACTTTTTAACAGAAAAATTTTAATTTTTTTTCACACATATAACTTCACAAATCAGCATTATTGCTTCCACTCCGACCCCCCCCCCCTCCAAAAATGTGAAAACTGTAAATGTATTAAGAAAATTAACATTTTATTTTCGATCAAAAACTCCTTTACAATATTTAAGAAAACTTTTATTTACAACATTAAAAATATATATACATATATGTATTTGAAGAAAACTTAACTTAGAACAAGAATTATTAATATTTTGTTTTAATTTGTCTTTTATAACATTCTCTATAACTTTGTGACACGAGATATATCTTAAGACTTGTCTTAAGATTTCAGCTACTTAAGACAGTTTTGTGAAACAGCAGTGACAAATCTTATGATTGTCGTAAGTCAGATCTTAAGATTGTCTTAAGATCTGTCTTAGGACAAATCTTAAGATAGTTTTGTGAAACGAGCCCCTGATTTATTTAAAGTCATCCAGATATTCATGGACCGTATCCCACCCATGCCAATCAGCGATTTTAAGAATCTTATTTCTGTGCTGCAATGCTGACTTTTCTTCTGTCACTATCTTGAGAGTTTTTGATAATTCACCTTCTTGTAAACACTGTTCTAATTCTGCCAACTTTGAAAGTCTATCCTGATTACAATGAAGCGCATTGAAGTGGTAAAATTTTCCTTTTGGATGAAACGTTCCGAGTCATGTTTTGAACGCCAATTATAACAGAATGGCACGCCCATTTCTTTAGAAACAAACAAGAAATATTCGTCGTAATGTTTTAGGACACCCTACTCTTTGCAACAAGCAA